GTGCTAACCCGTATATGGAACATAGATCTCACAAGAAGGGCTGATCAGCGGCCAAACGTGGTCGTCTCCCAAACCCGACGGGCGGTACACCTTCAAGATTCCGTCAAACATAGCGCCCGGAGCGTATCTTCTTCGCGGAGAGACCATCGGCTTGCACGTTGCCAGCACTTATCCTGGCGCGCAATTCTACATGTACGTCAAAGCAGGACAAAGCGACCAACGGGTGCTCATAACAATCGTTCTGTAGATCGTGTGTTCAGATTAATGTTACCGGTGGTGGGTCTGCGAACCCTGCCGGAGTCTCATTCCCTGGTGCATACAAAGGTTCCGACCCAGGCATTACCATAAACATGTGAGTGACTCTGCCACGGCCTGAACCTTCGACACAGGCTAAACCGTTCGCGTAGCTACTATCCTGTACCAACTTCTTACACATTCCCCGGTCCTCCTGTGTACTCCGGATAGGCTGTCTTAGTCCTAAACCGGCGTGTTGATATTTAGTATGAATTCAGTTCTGGATATATGCGTCTGCCTTGAGACGACGGTTGCAGATAATCAATGACATTGATGAGCACCACTCCATCCGCCGCGGACAAACTTGGGGATGAGTTTATCCAGTAAACGTAAACAAGCTAGCCATCCCTGTGGCACTTCCAAAGCTCCAGCGCCACACAATCTGTTTTGCACGATGCAATGCAACTTGAGCGCATTACACAACGTTCGTTACTCGATGCAGATCCCCGGGGAGCTGTCAATGCCCGCAATCTGCCGATGCCATGATATATTCACGCCCTAGTGAGGGCAATTACCACCAGTCTCCCCCTCCATCGCTTGGTATGTCTAGCATGCGCAAATTTGGGGCTGTGGACTGTACTACCAAGTACAACCACGACAGTTATCCCGATACCCAGGAGCACCCTTCTCGTGTATGTCTAAGTACTGGCAATGTAGTTGGGCTTGTGGTACGTCTGTTCAAAAACATCATGTTGAGGGTGCGCTAACGTCGAAGCGACTAGTTTCAAGCACTAGCTGGATTTTCATCCCTTTTAGCACTATTATTGTTGCTTTTTACTATTCTGGTGCGCGGCAACAATCTTGTAGGCTCGTATGCATACCTAAAGTCTGTTCACTGTTGACCCAGCGCAACTATCGCCGTAACCTGCTCAAACCGCAACCCGGCCCACGGCGGCTATTCCAAGATAACATTGACATATTCATGGTACGCCAAAGTTCCCCGAGTGTTACTCAGCGGGTAGCTGAATCACTGAAGCAGCTCAACTTGATATTCTCCGATATCTGGGTGTCGATTGGATCCATTCCCAACATTTACTGGGCATCCAAGCAACAGGTTTATTGCGGGTCAATGTGCAACGCGCAAGGCCTGGTTCAAACTATTGGAGAGACAGCGGCAGCTTTTGCCATGATATTGATCACTGGTTACATATTTCTGGTGCTATACACAAACCGACGCAGGAATTTTAAGCCATGGTTCTGGTCATCAGTGATATCAGCTACATGGCTATGGGCGATCGTATGGGCGACCGTTCCCATCGGAGCCTTCTCAGAGCTGGAACCAGGCGAACATGGTGCCAGGCTGTATTACACCCCGACTCCCTGGTGTAAGTTTGTACTTTGATTCAATGTGCGAGCGGTTCACTTAAACCTTGCATATAGGGTGCTGGATTAACGGACGATACATGTCTATTCGCATGGTCGCTGAGTATTGGTGGTATGTGCACTTAGCTAATAAGCGCAGTAAACCACATAAATATTTCTTACAGGTTGTGGAGTGCAGCAGTTAGCACCATCACCTTGTGTATGCCTTCCTACCTTATCATTCGAAAAAACCGAAAACGCGTAGGTTCAATTGACGGGGCCCGGAGCTACTCTGCTGGCATCCAACATGACCACGGTCTCGCCGGCATGCTCTGGTACGTCCACTCCCCCGTTATGTCCATTTAAAATGATTGACGATTTCCCAGCTATCCCGTCGCCTATACATGTTGCATTCTGCCGGTGTCCATTACAAGGTGGATAATATCTACTAACCCTTCATTGCTTTTAAACCCATCTATGAGTCCTGTATCTATGGCTTTCGCCACCGTTTTCTACCTTACGGGGCTAGTACACGTAATTATTACGTTCTGGATTCAGCCAGGGATCTTGTTCATTGATCCTGACGGCCAATTGAGCCCCCGTAACCCTCGTAATATGGCCGAGGCTCCTATTCCCCCCCGGTTGCGGCACACGGATAGGTCCGGCGATGTTGGTTTTAATCGCTAAGGGAAACCAACAAATCATTTAGTGGGAGACACCCATGAATCAGATTGATCTATTGTTTTGCCTTGACTTTTGAGTAGTTATAAATGTTAACTCGAAGTGTGAGAGCTTGTTCTTTGTATCCTGCGACGACCTTTGTTGCCTCAGGAAGTGGCTCCGTACCTGGGACTGGTTAAAGGACTTGAATTGGGTTCCCACATGGTTTGAATTTCGAGGGTGCTAAGCAGCTGTTGCTTCGTGCCAAATGCCTGTACATCCCTCCCCTGACTTTATATGCGTCTCTCGGATGTCCCAGTTTGGGTGTATGCGCCTCTCCTGTGATGGCGCCTCTATGAACTCAATAAATAGATAAGCACCGCCTGCACCGCCCTTCCCAGAAGCCAGGGGGCACATTTCCCAACAAGTGGGGTAATCATTTTCTGGCGTTCTCGGAGCTCCCACGCCAGGTACACGGCCCATTTTACCCGGTATAATGCGGCCTGACCTGACCATCAGTGGAATATATCCGTTGCTTGAAAGATAAACACTGCATTACCGACATTTCGGAACATAGCCTGGCAACCAACGCAGTGCGTGCCACCCAATATAGATCATTGAGGGGCAGTTCGGGTATAGCGCCGTCGCCGCGTCACCGTTATCTGCGAGTGTAGTTGATATATTATGATCGGCCGACGTAAGTGAGGCTACCAGCCCTCTATTCAGCATGTCCACGTTACACATGTCCGGACCTGTAAACTGTACACGGGATTTCAAGAGTTATCTTGATACCCAGGAAAACCCTTCTAATGTGTGTTTGGACACGGGGGCTGTCGTCGGACTTGCGGTACGCCCCTTTACGCTTACATTCTGGTTGGATGCTGATGCTGAAACAACCACTAGTTTCAAGCCGAGGCCGGTCTTGCATCACTGGTCGCACTTTTGTCATTGCTCGGGATTATTTTTGTTTGTATTGCCGATTCCTTCCGACGGGCACATGCTGACAACTCAACGTCCGACCAGCGCAACTATCGTCGCAACCTGAACAATCCCCCACCCGGACCATGGCGGCTACTTCGAGGGAATGTTGATATTCTCATGGTACGCTGAAGTTTCTTTCGTACCACCTAAAAGAAAGCTGAATGGGTGAAACAGCTTAACCTGATATTCGCCGATATTTGGATGTCGATTGGATCCATTCCCAACATTTACTGGGCTCACAAGCAACAGGTGTATTGCGGGTCCATGTGCAACGCGCAGGGCGCCATTCAGACGATTGGAGAGACAGCAGTAGCATTTGCAACGATACTAGTCACTGTATACACCGTTGTGGTGGTCTACTTAAATCGACGACTAGCTTATCGGCCATGGTACTGCCTAGTAGCAATAGTTGCCATGTGGCTATGGGTGATCCTATGGGGTGTTGTGCCCATTGGAACTTACTCGGGATTGGAGCCAGACGAGCATGGCGCAAGGCTGTACTATACGCCGACTCCCTGGTGTGAGTACATGATTGTGTTCAAGTTCCAAATGAGGTTACTTCAACCTTTCATACAGGGTGTTGGATCAACGGAAGATACACGCCTTACCGCATAGTTGCGGAATACCTATGGTAAGTACAATCATAGCCGAGCTTAATCTGCATTGTATCGCTTATCTTGCTTCGTAGGCTGTGGATTGCGGGCGTTGGAACCGTTTGCCTCTACGTTCCTTCGTATATCATTCTGCGGAAAAATAGAAAGGAGTTCAGCCCAATAGAGAAAGCTGGACAGGAAGACCGGCCATTTGATAGCCAGAGTCACTCTAGCTCCAACTCCAGCTCCAACTCCAACTCCAACTCTAGCAGCAGCCAGAAGAGCGATAATCCCGCCAAAATGCTTTAGTAAGCTTGCTCCCTATGCTTGGTAGCTCCCAGGTTGCTCAACAAACGTAAATCCCCCAGCTACCCTGTTGCTTATACGCTTTGCATCCTCCCGCTTTCGATCATGCGGTGGGCTGCGTTCAGCGACCCCTCTTTGCTCTCGAATCCACGTATGAATCCACCATCCATGGTTTTCGGCGTCACGTTCTACCTCATGGGGTTGATCAACGTAATGCTCACGATTTGGGTCCGCCCTTCGATTTTACTCATTGGCTCTGATGGTCAATTGAGCTCCGACGATCCTCGTTTTATTGCCGAGATCCAAGCTGAACGTCCGGATATTATCCAGATGCAACGAGCGGGCCGGGCTGGTGGTCCGAGCCCAAACGGCCGACGAGTGGCAGCAAGCTCACTGGCTGGGTGGAATACATAGTCTAACATCTTGATTATTTACCGCCGGTTTGAGAGCGTGCATCGGACATATTACCAAGTGACCTGGTTGTACTTTTTCTATACTCTTTGTGGCAGCATAGAGCCAAATATACCATGCGACTGAATATTCAAAAGCTTTGCGTTTATCCGAACTATCTTGCTACGGAGTCTCTTCTTAGCGTTTTGTGGACTGCGAGGAACGTATAATTGAAGTAAGGACATATGCATGGCGCTGTGATATCCCCCAATGTCGGTAATCCGTGACAACGTATACGTACTGCGAGCTATATATTATAAGCATTACCACTGAACACCATTGAACACTCGCGCATTGGGCCAACAAGCCTTTCTAAGTTGCGAAACACGTCAAAAGGGCAAACCCATGGATACGCTACTCTAGGTGTATGTATGTTCCTTACCCAAGGGAATCCTTAAAGTGGCAAAAACCTAAAGCCCCACGCGGGGCTCGAACCCGCAGCCTTGAGATTCCGTAAGCCACGATTGCAAATACGGTCGTCCAACTGCTTCAACAGGTTTGTAAAAGTCTCACGCTCTACCGATTGAGCTAGCAGGGCTGTGGCTAACACAGCCGAGGAACCTCCGATTCGCTGTGCCTGGGGCTGGTATCGCCGAGCCGGTCCCCATGTGGAACGATCGCAATCGCCACTCCATCTTGAACTTGCCACTTCGGACACGAGGCAGCGAGACTCGTGGGATCCCACCTGCAAGTCGTATCTCTATATACGAATGGGAGCAGGCTAAGCTTCTATCGCGTTGCTCCCGCGTCGCGTGATTGTCACAGACCAATCTTATACTTCGGTGGCCAGCTGGGACAATCTGTCGTTCCGCCCCCACCCCTTTAGCACGATGGATACTCTGTGCCCTTCACTCCTCGAACAAGGCTTTTGCCTCGATGACTCGTGCCGGAAACGGCATGACACTTCATACTTTTGTTCAACTTGCCGCATTGCACCAATTTCTGTAGCGGCCTATAATTCCCACATCCGATCTGCTGCGCATCAACGAGCTGAAGCTAGAGTACAATGGTTGCACTGCGTACCCTGCGATCGATACTACAAACGGGGAAGTCCCGAACAAACGAGCCACGAGACCTCTAGCCGGCATGTCAAAAGAACCTCAGGTACAGCCAGCGACGGCACCCCTCCTGTTGAAATACGATCGCCGCCAAATTCAATTAACTGTGAACCCTACAAGACTGCAATAGCGTCCTCTGCGTACGGTCAACACTGCCGCACCAAACCTCACATTTCGCGCCAGCTGGTTTTCAACTATTTAAACGCGGTAGCTCTGACTCAACACAACCGAAACGGAGTAGACGTGTCTGGCGACGAAAGTGGACTGGACTTGGGTGTCTGGGATCCGGCACAGTCTACTGGCGAACCTGTCATCGTGGAGATCTCAAATACCCTCCCCGCGGCTGTATCCTTGATCAAGGCGCGAACCTCGGCGTCACTGGGTGTGCGCCCAGGCCTACAGATATGGTAAGCTCACATGCACTACAAACCTGCCAGCTTGATTATAATGATTACCAGTTTTACTGTGACCACTATTCCGCTTCCAGTCTCAATCGAGCTCCATAGCAGTGTAGCGGTGCAAGTTCGTTTCGATCCTCTTGGGCGGCGAGGTCGCTTCGAAGATCGCCTCGAGCTAGTCTTTCGCGATGCCAGCGGCGATATTTTCATGATTACTCGACCCCTGCGAGCTGTTGTCGCAAACTCAGATCTAACTCTCTTAGCGCCTGTTGCACCATATCAACGCCAACGTCTTGCTCGTGAGCGAGGCGCCCGAACCCATGTCGTCGGGGGCGGTGAAGATGTATTCCCAAAGACAAAGTTCAAGAGACGTCTCCCCCCAGCAGCTATCCCAAGCGACCTCGAACAGCTTTTGAACCAGGGTGCTCTCGATCGGCAAGTCCACGATTTTAGGGATCAATTCATGCCCGAGAATCTCGTCAGGGATTCGTACAAGCGCTATTGGTCAAGTCTGGTGCATGCCGAGCATGTCCAAGCCAAGTGAGTACATATATGCGCAACCGGGGTTGTCCGATCTAATAAGGGCCCATCCGTTCTAGAATTGATTTGAGCAAGTTTCATATGGACGACGTAACTTTGGTCCGGAGTGGCTCTTTATACGAGTGAGTACAAAATATTCGCTTCAGCCTGGCCAAGGTTTGACTTTGTTACTAGACTGGAAGTCCCGGGATTGGCCGAAAAAAGGTCGGTTTGTTAATAATTACCGCAGGAGCAACCTCTCCTAAAATGCACGCAAAGGCCCTCCGTTCTAACTGGGGATCGGATCAATATCCACCCACATAGCCACCCCGACGGCGTCTGGTTCAGCGGGGTGGTGCATGAAGTTCAACTCTCGGTAGTTCGGATTTCGTTTCATTCCTCATTTCCGCATCACCAAGCAGCGCTTTACGACGTCGATTTTACCTTGAATCCAGTTCCGTTCCGCCGAATGTTTCAAGCGGTTAACATCCCAAACCCGCGCAACAATCTTATATTCCCATCCCCGGCAGACTTGCATGCCAACAACGACTCCCAACCAATGGACCTGGACCCGACGGCGAGCGTGTATAATCACTTGCTTGACAGTAACCACGAACAACTCCAAGCTGTGAGGCGCGTTACCGAACTTCCGGCCGGTAGTCCCCCTTTCATCATTTTTGGCCCGTAAGTACAAACAGTACAAGCCTCAGCCTATGCTGAACGTCATACCGTCTTATGTGTCCTACGATCTAGGCCAGGGACAGGGAAGACAATGACGGTAGTCGAGTGCATAGGCCAGCTCTTGGACAACCCTTCTGTGCGGATCTTAGCTTGCGCTCCGAGCAACTCTGCAAGCGACCTTATCGCTCAACGACTGATCAATACTCGTGCACTCGACAAGAAAGAATTGTTTCGGCTAAACGCAGTCTGGCGCCCACGAATCACCCTGCCGGAGGAGCTACTAGAGTATTCTCGCTTCAGCCGTACCTTCCAGGCGCCAGGTCTAGCGGAGCTCAAAACTTACCGGGTTGTCGTCGCCACTTGCTCTTCGGCCGCGTTGATTTATGGTCGTGGAGTAAACCCCGGCCATTTCACCCATGTGTTCATCGACGAAGCGGGACAAGCGTCAGAGCCTGAGGTGATGATCCCAATTCTACCTTTAGCCGACAACAAGACCAACGTCATTTTAAGTGGTGATGTGAGTCCTAGTCTCTTGTTCTTCATTGACCGTATAACTGAAACGATATCCTTACGCACACTAGCCAAAGCAACTAGGGCCAGTTATCCGATCCCCGGTCGCAAGACAGCTCGGGTTGAGTACCAGCTATTTAGAACGTCTAATGTCTCTACCTGCGTACGACGAGGTTGTTATGCGAGGAATATCGTTTGTCTTACCATTGTTTCAGTCATCAACTACTAACCCAGGCCTATATGTTAGCGTTGTTAAGTTGTTGAAGAACTTCCGAAGCCACGAAGCGATCTTGGCGTTCCCAAACGAACAATTCTATAGAAACGAGCTTGTTCCCTGCGCGTCTCCGAATATCACAAATACATTCCTCAATTGGAACCGTCTTGCCTCTCCAAAATTCCCGGTCATTTTCGAAGCTATTGCCGGTAAGTGATTGCTTTTTGCTGAAATTTATGAACAAATTGATACAAATTCCCCCGGTTTCTGTGGTGTATGCACAGGCGAAGATATGCGAGAGTCGACTTCGCCGTCGTTCTTCAATCCTCATGAGGCATCTCTGGTGAAGGAATACGTAGAAGGGCTTATACCTTTCATGGGTAACTCAAGCTCTCGATACTATGTTTCAGGGGCTTACCTGTTCGATGTCTAGCGACTACAAAGCAGATTGGGATTGTTACCCCATACCGAGCCCAGGTCAGGAAGATCCGTCAATTGCTTCGCGAGATTGGGGCCAACGACATCGACGTTGGAAGTGTAGAGAACTTCCAAGGCCAGGTATGCTCTATATATGCTCGAGTAAAGTGACGGTGCCGCTGAAAGAGTGTATGCAGGAACGACAAGTGATCATTTTGTCTACTGTCCGCAGTAACCAAGATTTCCTCAACTTTGATCTCAAACACACTCTAGGTTTTGTTGCAAACGAACGGCGACTGAATGGTACGTTTCATCAAATAAAACTTTGGTATATGCTTACTACTCGTCATGTAGTCGCAATCACTCGTGCCCAAGCGCTGCTGGTCATCATCGGGGACCCGATGGTCCTAGGGCTAGACCCGCTCTGGCGCCGGTTCTTGTACTTCATCTACCAGTCCGGCGGCTGGAAAGGCGCCCCATTCCCGTGGGACCCAGAGGCGGATTTGGGCGACGCAGGTGGTACAGCGTCTCTCGCAGAGCGCGATATTCTTCAGCTCCTTCGGCGTGCAGATGCTAATGCTTCTGATGAGGATCCAACTGCTGAGCTAGACCAAGCCGGGATGGGCGACGAATAGAAGCGCATTGCACCTCGTCATTCACGCCGGTCCGTACAAATTGAAGAGTTGAATATATGGATTTGTACATTCGTCATAATCTTCGTTCTAAGGAGAGAATGATTTTTTTCGGACTGGCTTCTGGTCATTGTGGGGTCACGCCCTACGCAAAACTTCAAACCATCACCCAAGACGACTGGACATACCCGACTGTGGCCCGTTCACCCCTCAGGCCATCTCAAGCCGCATATATTCAACCCTGCAGCATCTACTTCCAATTTCCAACCGATCCACGCGACGCTTCGGTGGCTATCACCATTTCGCCTTGGATTTGCCACTTTGAACGTAAGGCAACGAGGTTTACTGTATGATCTCGATATCTCTGCGCATCAATATGGGGCGGAGTTGGACAAATTTGTGTCGTTTCAGGTCTATGCGCGTGATTCTCATGGGCTTGGCCTTATATTTTAGCAATCGGCTGGTAAAGCCCTGTCCTCCCCCCTTCGCCCCCGTACTACGATGGCTACACTGTGCCCCTCGCTTCTTGAACGGGGCTTTTGCCTGGACAATCCGTGCCAGAGATTGCACGATACTTCAAATTTTTGTTCACCTTGCCGCATTGCATTGACGTCTGCTGCAGACTATAATGCCCACGTCGCGACCACCGAGCACAGACAATCCGAAGCTGGCGTGCAATGGCTCCACTGCATACCCTGCAATCAATATTACAAACAAGGAAGCCCCGAACAAACAAGTCACGAAGCTTCTAGCGAGCATATCAACAGAATCTCCAACAGCACCGGCTCCCCAATCGCAGTGCGACCACCCCCCAATACTACTAGCTGCGAGTCGTGCAGGATCCAGGTACCATCCAGCACATATAGCCAACACTGTCGCAGCAGGCCTCACCTCTCGCATCAATTGGTTTTCAACTACCTGAACGCCGTAGCCCGGACCCAGCAAAACCGAAACGGGGTGGAAGTGTCCGGGGCGGAAACCGGGCTAGACTTGGGCGCGTGGACGCCCGAGCAGTCGGCCGATGAACCTGTCGTCATCTGGATTTCGCATACTCTCCCCACGCCTGTATATTTGACCTCCGTGCGGACCTCGGCTTCACTCGGTGCGCG